CCCGGCGCCGGCGCTGCGAGCGGCCCGGCGCAGCCCTTTGTTCCGGGGTGGCCGCCGCCGCCCGGTAGCAGAGCAAATTGATTTTCGGTTCCATTGGACACGCGCGCCTGGACTGCGTGTGTGCTGCCACCTCGAATGCCCCTGGTATTTGTAATTGAATAGTTCTCTCGGGCGGGGGTGGCCGTGGGTTATTTTTAGTGGGGGGGGGAGGAAGAATATATATTTAGTGTTGGGGTGTGTGAGAACCAGGATTCAAAGCCATTCAGCTTTGAATAGGTCTTTGAACTGATGGGGCGGGCGGATTCGCTAGCAGTCGCTCACACGTGTGTACATGTAGAATTAAAAAAAAATTAGAACTGGGAGTGCATTGTGTGTAAAAACTTAAACAACAGAACTTTCCATTGTTCTTTGGGGGGCATTTTCTATTTCCAGTAGGAGTGCAAAAAGGGTTGTAATTAGTTCACTGGAATATAAAAGACACAGCTTCTTAGTCAGAGCTGCTAGGTTACTAATTATTAACATAAAAGCTGACGCGCTGTTTAAGGAAAAGGGGCGGGGCGGGGGCAGGTCCGAGGCAGACAATGAGGAAGGGTCTCTGCCGACCGCCTGCTGCTTATTGTTCGCCGGCTGCAGGCTGCGGATGGCAGCTGCCCCCTCCTCCAGGGCTCGGCTCCACTGTCGTCCCTCGGTCTCACCTGGGGCCGTCGGGGCCACCCAGCGCCGAGCCCCGGGCGCCGGGACACCCACTCCAGCTCCAGCGAAGCTTCGCTGACAACCCTCTCTCTGCTTTGCAGATTGGCAGCTTCGCGCCGGAGGGTGTCGCGAGTCCAGGCGGCAAGGGCCAGGCGCCCTGGGCCCAGCTGGGCTGCATGTAGTGCCATCAGCAGTGCTCGGTGCCCCTTCGCTCGGCGCGGGGCGCCCTCGCTGCCGGCGGCGGGCGGATCGGTGGCGGCGGAGGGGATGCGCCCGGGACGCGAACGGCGCGGGCCGCGAGTTACCGCCAGAAAGTGGACGTCAAGCAGGACTCGTCGCTGGACCGCACGGACCCCTGCCCTTCGAGGCACACGGCTGTGGAGCGCGTCTGCGGTCAGGATGCCCTGCGTGCCTCCCTGCTGATGAGCATGCCCTGCTGCGCGCCTCTGACTCCTGGCTCTGCATCCCCTGCCCCCGGCCCCGGTGGGCGCGAGTGCGTGGGCCCAGCTTCGGCTCCTTGAGTCGCTGGGTGAAAAGCGCCAGAGCCCTTGAGTACAACCAGCGGTGGAATTTGAGTCAGAGCCATGGCCGAAGGCTCCGGGCTGCAATTCCGGGCGGGAGAGCAGGGGGATGCACCGGCCACGGAAGGAGCTGTCCAAGAGAAGTCCGAGCCAGAGACGTTTAGGTCCAAGAGTTTACCGGCCCTCCACAGCGCCTCCTGCCGTCCGTACATCAGCCCCGAGAATGCGGACACCAAATCGGCCTTCAGCTTCACGGATTCTTTGGGCCAGCAGGAGCTGCAGCAAGACCCCAGCCCGCTGCTTCCCAGCCCCTCTGCCCAGGCCACTTCGGCGGGGCTGGCGGGGCTCATGGACTGTAACAACAGGGTGGACGTCTGCAAAGGCGTCTCGGGATCCTCCACTCTGTCCACGCTCCAGGGGAGAAGATGTCTCTACATGATCCTCACCGATTCCCGTTGCTTCCTGGTTTGCATGTGCTTTCTGACCTTCATCCAAGCGTTGATGGTATCCGGGTACCTGAGCAGTGTCATCACCACCATTGAAAGGCGCTACAGCCTGAAGAGTTTCGAGTCGGGACTGCTGGTCAGCTGCTTTGACATTGGGAGCCTGGTGGTGGTGGTGTTCGTCAGCTACTTTGGAGGCCGGGGTCGGCGTCCCCTGTGGCTGGCTGTAGGTGGACTTCTCATATCCGTCGGGGCTGTCCTTTTCGCTTTGCCACACTTCATCTCCCCACCCTACCAGATCCAAGAGTTGAACGCCTCCACCTCCAACGACCGCCTGTGTCAGAGTGGAAACTCCACACCCACTTCGGAGCCTCCCTCCTGCCTGAAGGATCCGGGGAAAAACAACCACTGGATCTATGTGGCTTTGTTCGTTTGCGCACAGATTCTCATTGGAATAGGCTCCACACCTATTTATACTCTGGGACCAACCTACTTAGATGATAATGTCAAGAAAGAAAACGCATCCTTGTACCTAGGTAAGACCTTTCTGCCGCTGGCAGTTTTAGATAACGCTTAGATAAGGTTAAACTCTCGCAGAAGTGCACTGTCTGAAAAGTCAAAAGGCAGCATCCACGTTTTCGTGGATAGTTTAAGTGCTAAGTTTCATTTTATTTTACATTTAAGCCCTATGTGGTGTACTTTCAATTTGGGAGACAATTAATTAGTAGAGAGTTCTTTGAATACAATTTCAGACTCACACTCACAGGCTCCTCTGCTCCCTCAACCCCCTCCCCCGCCCCAACCAGGTAATGCAAACTTTTAATTATGGAAACAGTTCCTCCTCTGTTTTGATGCTTACCTTTTTCTGGGTGGGGTTGGGGAGGGCTCTAATTTCTCAAGTTAATCTTCAAATACGAGACACCCAGATGGTGTACTGGTGTTGGGCTGCGATAAGCTTGGTCAGCAGTTCGACACCACTAGCAACTCCGTGGGAATAAAGACTAGGCTATCTACTCCCATAAGCAGAGTCTCGGAAACCCATAGGGGCTCACCATGAGTTAGCATTGACCCAATAGCATGGTTTCTGGTCACACAGATAAATCTTCTAGAAGGGTTCTGTAGAAGTTTATATTATGGATGGGAGTTTTTTAGTTATTTCTTGTTTCTTCTTCTGTTGCTTTTCATAATGGAGTAGCCAGATGTGATCCCTACTCTAGCCACCTTATGGGACAGAGGAGAACAGCTCCATAGGGTTTCCAAAGGCAGACCGCCTCAGCTTTCTTCTGCAGAGAGGCTGGTGGGTTTGAACCACCCGCTTTGTCTTTAGCAGCATAGAAGCAGAGAGCGGCCCGCCAAACCACTCAACTCATTGCCATTGAGTCAATGCTGATTCACAGCGACCCTCAGTGGGTTTCTGGGACTGTTAACTGTTTATGGGATTAGAAGGCCCAATCTTTGTCCCTTGGACTGCTGCTGGTGGTTTCGAACTGCTGACCTTGTAGATCACAGCCTAACGCTTAACCACTCTACCATCAGCATCCTTTTTTTTTTTAAAGCAAGGACTCTTTAAAAATGCTTCAGTGCTGCTCATTATTTAAAAAGACACACAAAACAACTTCAGTATCAAATGACTAAATTATCTTTATGTAGAAACAGCCTCGTTAGTTTTTCCCTTCCACCCCCCACAAATAAGATCTTTAGTTTGTCACCAGGAAAAGTCTGAATTTGAAACAGATTCGTGAGCTGGTGGCTCGTAGCTGTCAGCTCGTTCCTCTCTAGCACCTGTCTCATCGCCAGTGGTTTTCCAGAACGACCACCTTCCCCAGGGAGCTCCAAGAGTTTGCCCGAGTTTGCCCGAGACTCTTGCCTGGGCTGCGTCAGCATTTTCACCTTTCTGAGGAACACATCATGGAGAGCACAAATAGAGTGGCAAGCCTTTTCTTTCCCAGTCCTGTCTGGAGTCCGTATATTGACCACTTCTTTCAAGGCAATTGTCTGCACTGTAAGGGTCATGAATTCCATCATATTCTTTTGGATTGACAGTGCTAAAATGTCCAAGGTCTTCCGAATCTGATTGTTGCGATCTTTAGTAAAGCCAACACCAAACAGAGCAGACAGCCATCGGTCGTCTTGACGTCAATGTGAGCTTCAATCATGGTCTGCCACTTTTGGACCATGGTGCCTGCGTAAGATCCACTCCATGCCTAAGATCCATTTATCACATGCATAAGATCCACTCCATGGAAGTTGATCAGGCGGGGTTTTTGCTGAATGTCCTTAGTAATTAGCTTGAATTTTCTAAATGCAGCTTCATCGTTCTGCAGAGCAGCCAGGCTCACTTCAAAAACGCAACCCGTGAGGCCATGCGATGGCCTTTTGGCTCCCTGAGTCCTGGTGACTAGTGTTTGTCCATCTATTTCTTACATTGAACATAGTTGGTGCTTTAACACCATACCAATCTTTCTTCTTAGCTCCTTTGGGGCCACCTTTTGTAAAACACTTGTTCTCGCTGACTCCCAGGGTGCCACTCAGAGAGTTTTAAGGTTTACTCACAGCCATTTATAGTGCTGATAGAAGACCCTCAATTATATGATGCTGGGAACAAGATCCACTGCTGTTTTCTGGAGAGCCGGGGCTCTTGGACTCGGCATGTTTGCCTGCATACAGCAGGTACAGTGGGCAGGGGGCCATCAGGATAAGCACAGGGTGCTCTCATGTAAGGCTGCTGATGTCAGAGTGGGAAAAAGCACTTACTTCCTGGGATCTGTGTCATTTTCAGCAGCTCCCTGTACTCACATTCAAAAAGCTCACTGCCATCAAGTCAGTTCCGACTCACGGTGTCCAGATAGGATAGGGTAGAACTGCCCCTGGGGGTTTCTGATACTCAACCTCTTTATGGGAGCTGAGAGCCTCATCTTTCTCCTGTGGACTATAACCATTAAGCCACCCCCTTAAAAAGCGAACTTCTAAAGGGTAGATTCAAACTTTGAAAAGGCCAAATACGCTGTCATGCCTGATGACTCGGTTTTTCTATGCTTTTCTACTGAAGTCAAACTAAAACAAGATACAGGATATTGCTTTATTGAGAAGACAAACAAATCGCTGCAACATAAAAGGAGCACTAGTAGTGTAGTGGGTTATGTGTCAGGCCGTTCACTATAAAATCAGCAGTTCAAAACCACTAGCCACTCTGCAGAAGAAAGATGAGACCTTCTACTCCCATAAGGATTTAGTCTCAGAAACCTATAGGAGCAGTTCTGCTTTGTCCTATACCTACAGGGCCACTTTGAGTCGGAATCAACTTGCTAGCACAGGGTTTGGTTTGAAGATTCCCCCATCCCAACTGCCAGTGAGCTAATTTTGACTTCTAGCGATCCTATATAAGGTTTCCAAGGCTGTAAATCTTTATGAGAGCATATAGCCTCATTTGAACCACCGACCTTGAGGGCAGTAATGAAATACCCGACAGTCCCTCCAGGACTAGACCTAGGAATTTGTTGTTTATGTACCGAGAGGATCCTTAGTTAGGAATAATAAGGCTTTCAAATAATAGTGGGAACGACTTCAAGGGTAAGGGGGCTGTACTTTTCCTCAGTAGAGCTGTCAGTGTTCCCAGAAGCTGTTCTAAGTGAGAGGTTTGTGTCATTTACAGTCCTGAATCATTTACAGGCCAACTGCTTTAGGCCAGGAGTTGTAAGATTTATTATTATTAAATGCCAGAGGAAGAAGTTTCTATTGAAAGCAGAGAGGAACAACTGAATTGTTACTTTGCCTTCCTATTTTCCAACATTCATTATGACAACAATTTTTTTATTATGACAAATTTTTAAACATACATGAGAATGAGAAAGAATTGTCCCGTAAACACCACGCAGGCGCCAGGTGGCGGAGTGGGTTATGTGTTGGGCTGCTAACTGCAAGGGCACTAGCTCAAAGCACCGGCTCCTCGGATGGAGAAAAATGAGGCTTTCTTCTCCTGTGAAGAGTTCACAGTCTTGGAAACCCGCAGGGATCATGCTCCCCTCCTTGTAGGGTCACTGTGAATTAGAATAAACTTGGTGGCAATGAGCTTGAGTTTTTTTCAGATTCATGAATTGTTCATTTAGTCATATTTGCTTTATCTATGTATGTATGTGTACAGTTTCATTGATAACCCCTTGCCGCATTTAGTTTTAAATGATCAATCGACTTCATTGTAAATGTTTTGGCCTTCAAATAAGGATTTAAGAAAACATGTAACTGCACGGACGTTAACATTCTAACAATAAGTCTCTACTAATATATTTAAATTTCCTCAATTGCCTTCTAAATCTTTTCTGGGTAGTTTATTTTTATCTTTTATTTCTAAACTAGATGTTAATTAAGGTTAATTCAGACTTTGCGCGTGATTGTTAGGCTTTCCTATTTAGCATTTGCAATCTAGAAAAATGCTTCAAATCTTTTCTTTTTCCAACCTTACTGGCATGGGGGATCATGCATTGGGCTGCTAACTGCAAGGTCAGCAGTTCGAGACCACTAGCCACTGGTGTACTCCCACAAAGAGTTAGCATTCCTGAAACTCACAGGGGTAGTTCTAGCCTTTCCTGTAGGGTGACTGCGGGTCACCATAGACTTGATGGCAGTAAGTTTGAGTTTATTTGATAAACATAATTTATGAATTAAATCATAATTTGTTCAAATATAATTTATGAAACAAATTATGAGTGGACTTCAACAATTCTATGGAGAATGGAACGAGAAGACAATGGAATTTTTCCATGAAGCACTTGAAGCTCCCTGTGCATCATGTTGTATAATCTTTTCAATAACCTCAGGAGCCATGGTGGTACAGTGGTTACGTGCTGGGCTGTGATATGCAGGGTCAGTAGTTGGAAACCACCAGCAGCTCCTCAGGAGAAAGACTGGGCTTTCTACTCCTGTAAACAGCTAACAGTTTCAGAAACCCACAGGTTGGTCGCTATGAGTCAGCACTGACTTGACCACAGTGGTTTCTTTTTTTTCAAGAACCTTAGAGATGGGTATTGACTCAGTTTTATAGATGAGGTAATTGAGTCTCAGAGAGATCAAGTGCCGTGTGTAAGGACACAAGATGGTGACAAACCAGACTTCAAAATCATGTCAGTCTGATCCCAGAGCCCACGAACTTCCCTCAATGCTGTGTGTTTCTTCGGCAAGTAGCCCTAAAAGCCACCCGAAACCCAAAGATGTTCTATGTTCAACCGAGTTTGAGAATGGTGCAGAAGAATGCAGACGTAGTCTAGAGCGATGAAAACATGGTCAGAAAAAGAGGAACCAGCCAACCTTTCAAAGTAGACTCTATAATGCTCTACCTCTGTGCCTATCAACAACCAGTTAGACAACCACGTGCTTAGAACACAAGCTGTATGCTAGTCATTTGTGATGTGGGATTTTCCTTCTAAACAACTGGTTGGCAAACTGATTCCTCTGTCTTTCCCGTTTCACCCCTACCCCCTTCTTCACCTCCCCGTCAGTCTTCTGAACTCATTGAAAGCACAGAAGAAGAAGAAAAAAACCA